CGAACCCGCCACCTTAGGTGTATGTGGCTGGCGCCTTAGCCACTTGAGCCACAGGCACCAAGCCCGAATTTTATATTCTTAATGGCTCTGTGATATGTAGTATTTCTCTTGCCTGAAGGACCTTAGTTTTATACTGGGAGCATCTTCCAGGTTCTCATCACAAAGTTGCTTCTGGGAGTTCATATATTTCCAATTAAGAACTCAGATTCTTTGATAGAAGTGTCATGATTTTAGTGCAATGGTAGTAACAGTAGTTTTAGGACTAAAGACTAGGAGAAACCAAGGAAGTGGCACTTATGTGTCTCCTGCATTTCAGGAGAAGAGGACATATGTGAAGGGCACATCTCTCTCCCACTTTTTTGCACAAAAAGCCAGTCTGGGGGTTTGGTGCCTATAGCTCAGTGGTTAGGGCACTGGCCACAGACACTGAGGCAGGTGGGTTCAAACCTGGCCCAGGCCTGCTAAGCAACAATGAATGACAACTGCAACAAAAAAAATAGCTGGGTGTTGTGATGGGTGCCTATAGACCCAGCTACTTGGGAGGCTGAGGCAAGAGAATCACTTAAGCCCAAGAGTTTGAGGTTGCTGTGAGCTGTGAAGCCACGGCATTCTACCCAGGGTGACATAGTGAGACTCTGTCTTAAAAAAAAAAAAAAAAAAGCCAGTCTGGGTGTCAGCTAGGTAAGACTCAACTCTTATTAGCATGTTAGGAATGTGCTTGTTACCTGGAAACATTTTTAACTTTAAGCACTCTGAAATAGATTCCAGAATTACAAGACGCTTCTTATCTTAGGGATTACATGAGAGGATAGAAAAAAAAATTAATGCAATTTCTCTCCAGAGTTTCAGTAACTTTTCAACCAAGGGCACAAGGAAAAATCCCCAAAACAGAGTCAGAAGGACCTGAAGGTGCGGTTGGTAAGACCTAAGGTGTAGTTTAGGATTGAGTAGAGTATTCTGGGTTTTCTGGCTCTAGGAGATCTAAGCAAAATCCTCTAACTCGAACTCTGCTTCAAGTTAGATACTGTTTAGATCTAAGAAGTAGTCATCTGTGGTAACTGAAATCATGTAATCAGTACTTAGCATGAAAAGCAAATTTATCCTGTCAAAAGTCATTACCTTGAAGGATATAAGCTGCTAACAAGGCAGCATCAGATGTTTTACAGAGGAGGCGGCCATGGTAGAGATCCCTTTTGATCTGTAGGAAGACTAAATACCTGGAGAGAAAACAGAGAATGAATTATGAAGGATTTCTTTGATTGCTTTAAAGACATAAATATGTAATGTAAGCTTATCAAAATATTTGTCAGGATACTTTACTACATTTAAAAAAAAAAAACACCTCAAAACATACCATAGAACAAATACATTTTCCATTTCCCTCGAGACTCAAGCTCTTTGCCTTGAACTGACTTGAGTTTCAATTCCAAACATGTCAGTTTCCTTCTGTAGCTCAAAACAGAAATGGCTATTTCCTGGTAAAAGCACTGTCTCCCTCACCTTACTCCTAGGCTGGGCCTTGGAAGGAACCAGCGCCAGTCAATCTGGGCCAAAAAAGAAAACCGTGCCATCAGATATGGGCAAACTGGGCCTCTCCTCACACTGGACTTTGGCTGATACTCCTTCTTTTAAGAAGTAAAATGATGGGTGAAGGAACTAGTCCAAGGCTTGCAAAGAGAACCTGTTCATATGTGGAAAGAGCCTGTAATTATCAGCAGGGGTCAACCAGATCCTTCTGAATTTGAATATAGTGTAGGGAGAGGCACTGGTGAAGGAAGTACAAAAATTAAGCAGAAACCTGTGCCCAGCATCTCCTCAAATGTACAAAGCTTCCAGCTAATAGTAGGATATCAAGAATAAGAGCTGGCTCGGCGCCTGTGGCTCAAGTGGCTAAGGCACCAGCCACATACGCCGGAGCTGGCGGGTTGGAATCCAGCCCGCCTGCCATACAACAATGACGGCTGCAACAACAACAAAAAAATAGCTGAGCGTTGTGGTGGCGCCTGTGGTCCCAGCTGCTTGGGAGGCTGAGGCAGGAGACTCGCTTGAGCCCAGGAGTTGGAGGTTGCTGTGAGCTGTGATGCCACAGCACTCTACCCAGGGGGACAGCTTGAGGTTCCATCTCAAAAGAAAAAAAAAAGAATAAGAGCTAATAGTAGGGCTGGGCTCAGTGGCTCATGCCTGTAATCCTAGCACTCTGTGAAAGAGAGGCACTTCCACTGGCAGAGATTTCTCAGACTACCGAGGCTTGTATGAAAGGTCCTTATTGGTGGGGGGAGGGAGGCTGCAGAGCAGCACCGAGGAGGAGAGAAAAGAGGGGAGAGAGATAAGGAGAGAGTGGGGAAGAGAGAGTAGAGACTAGCAAGGAGGAAGATGGGAGAGAAAGAGAGAGAGCAGAGAAGGAAGGCAAAGTGAGGCAGGAGAGAGAGAGGAAGAAGGCGGGGGAACATATTCTTATATAGGGAAGTTTTAGAATGGTGACAGGCTGGTGGGATAACCAATAAGGATAGGGTGACCAGATTTTAACATCGGTAAGGCGGGACAACATGGCCAGGGCGCAGGGCCTGACAACAATGCAAATTTTGATAAGCAGTTCTCGATAATCACTTCTCAGCAATTATTTGTTATTATTACAGTTTAACATTATAAAATTAACAAAAATAATATAAAACTCATATTCTGGCGAAATAGCCACATGGCAGCCTAAAACCGTAAATTCCCTTCTTGTTCTCCCGCCTGTTCGTGCATTCTTTTCAAAAATCGGGACTTTTTCAAAACGCCGCGGGACGCGGGACAAATTGTTCAAAAGTGGGACGTCTGGTCACCCTAAATAAGTTATTCTTCTCGCAGAAAGAGCCATTGGGGCGGGCGGCAGGAAATTGGAACAGGGTGATGAGGTAAGCAGGCCACTCCCTGTGTTAGGGAGGAGTTGTAACTTTAAGGGCAGGAAGGGGCTTTCTGAGGCAATAACCTAACACTCAGAGAGGCCAAAGTGGGTGGATTGCCTGAGCTCATGGGTTCAAGACCAGCCTGAGCAAGAGCAAGACCCCATCTCTAAAAAAAAAAAATAGCCAGGTATTATGGCAGGTACCTATAGTTCCAGCTACTCTGGAGGCTGAGACAAGAGACTCACTTGAGCCCAAAAGTTTGAGGTTACTATGAGCTATGATGCCACAGCACTCTACTGAGGGCAGGAAAGTGAGACTCTGTCTCAAAAACAAAAGAAAAAAGAGCTAACAGTAGTTGACATGTACCAAGCACTCACTATTTGCCTAGCCTAGGGTGTTACTTTTACATGTAATATCTAATTTAATTCTCACCTAAAGATAGGTATTATTATTGTTTCCATTTTTCCAGATAAAAAAACTGAGGCTTTAGTGATCTTTTATCACAGATATACAACTAAATGTCAGAGCCAGGATTCAAGTTCAGGAATGTCAGACCCCTGAACTTGGCTCTTAATTACCAAGTTATACTGCCTTCCTTGCACTATTAACTGCTTTGTAGGTTCACAAGTAGTCAGATAGAGCCAGTCACAGTGGAATGAAATTGAAGACTTTCCATTTTGAAATGTCTTTGCAAGGAGTGTGGTCTTTGATGCCCAAAGTCTTATAGGTCTCCTAAGAAGAGCAGTTTTGTGAGATTATGAGGAACATCAAACCTTTCAAAGGGTCATCTACCACAATTGCTTCTCAGCCAGGGAGCATCCGTGATGGTTTAAAAATATGTCCTCAAATGCTTTGATACTCCTCATTTCATGAAGTAGAGCTTAATTTCCTCCCTTCACATGTGGCTGAGGCTTAGTGATTCACTTCTAAGAATAGATTAAAGCAGAAGTGACAGTGTCTGACTTCTGAGACCAGGTCATAAAGTCATTAACAACTTCCTTCTTGTTCTCTTTCTTTTAGATCACATACTCTGCTTGAGGTTGATTAAGCAGCCCTCTAGCAAAGTCCATGAGGTAAGGAACTGAGGCCTTTTGCCAATAGCCAGCAAGGTACTGAGGCTTCCTGCCAACAGCCACTTGAATGCACCATCTTGGAAGTGAATCCTCCAGCCTCAGTCCAGCCTCCAGATGACTGCAACCTCACAATTCACTCTGAACCAGGACACCCAGCTAAGTTGCTCCTTAATTTCTGACCCACAGAGACTCTGAGATAAGAAATACTTCTGCTGGTGGGACTTCAAACTAATACAACCTTTTTTGGAAGGAAGATGGAGACTCCTCAAAGAACTCAAATTAGACCTCCCATCTGATCCTGCAATTCCATTACTAGCCATCTACCCAGCAGAAAAAAAATCATGTTATCATAAGGACATTTGCACTAGACTGTTTATTGCAGCTCAATTGACAATCACCCAAACGTGGAAATAGCCTAAATGCCACCAAATCAGGAATGGATTAACAAGCTGTGGTACATGTATACCATGGAATACTATTCAGCCATTAAAAAAGATGGAGACTTTACATCTTTTGTATTTACTCAGTTCAAGTTAGAACACATTCTGCTTAGTAAAGCATCGCAAGAATGGAGAAGCAAGAATCCAATGTACTCAATTCTAATACGAAGGCAGTAGATGATCTAATACAAGGTTGGGGGTAGGGGAAGGAGAGATAGGGGAGAGGGGAGGAGGGAGGGTGACGGAGGTTGTGTACGGCACACCTCTTGGGGCAGGACACAATTACAAGTGGGACTTTACCTAACAAACGCAACCAATGTAACCTACGTCTTTGTATCCTCAATGAATCCCAAATAATTAAAAAAAAAAAAAAAAGAAAGAAAAGAAATACTTGTTATTTTAAGCTAATTTTTGTGGTATTTTGTTAGACAGCAATAGATAACTATAACTTCATTCCTAGAGAAATAATGAAAATGTAGTAAAATTCCCTTAAATTCTAACAGGCTAAAACAAAAGAAACTGGCCCCTCCCTGGACAACCGGAGGTTTCCACTGCTTCTGTTTTCAGACTAAAGAATAAAAACAGAGGATTCCACGTCCACTTGATTGTGTAAAAATGCCCAAGAGTAAGAGGCCCATTGATAGTGTGGTGTCTAGGAGGGGGTAGAGCCTTGGGCTTGAAAATTCAAGTAATTACATACAAATGAAGGTGCAGTCAAGTTTCTTCTTTTCCCAGGCCTTCCTACTCAGAGTTTAGATCACATATCAGAGGGAGCAGCATCACTTGGGAGCTTACTGGAGACCCCGAATATTATGCTCATCCTATATCTATATCTTTTAACAAGATTTCCAGGTGATCTGTACAAGAGATTAAGTTTAAGAAGCACTGACCTAAAATTCAAAAGCACCCTCACACCAGGGTAGACTGCCTTCCTCAAACTAGTTTAGTCTGGAAGTTACTAAGACCCTTCCTCCCTACTCTGTCCCAATGTTTGCTAAGAAAAACTGAAGGAAAAAAGATGTCATGTGGAGGCAATAATTAAGATGGATCTACCAAATCAAGCTTGTCTTCACTCTGCTTCCCACGGTGAAATGCCACACGGTGTGTGGGAGAGTGAGGGACCGTGTCTCTGCCTCTCACTGCTCTAACTCCCACCTTCTGCAGGTCTGGCAGGACGTGACTGCAAACCTTTTTGCCCCTTCAGTGATCACTCCCTGGGTCTAGATCTCTGCATCACTCCTTCCATGATAGTCTGTGTCCAAAATTCAAGAACAGCACATACTAACAGAAATATTTTAAAGGGAGAGCACAGCTCTGGGCAATGATTCTCAAACTGGCAGAGAGGTGAACATCTCCCAGGGGGAGCATGTCAGAATCTGTATGACAGTGGGCACTCCTATGCTTCGAAAATTTCTCTCTGCAGCTTCTGATTTGCTTGCCCCACTCCACCCACCCAAGAGGATGTGCCCCTCCTCACATTGAGAACCACGGTCTTTACAAGGCATCATTACTGATGGGTATGGAACAGGTGTCTCAGGCATTCTGGAATGGAAACGGCTTCCCACTGCTGTGGCTCCCTCTAGGTTAGGTGACAAAACAGCTACAGGGAGGTCAAAGGTAAGGCCCTGGGGGCATTCTCAGGCAATGTTATAACTGGGTAAGGGCGGAGGCATAGCCTGAAGAAACAAATCATAGTCTTTAGAGGACAAGAAGAAGTGTGCTCATGAAAGAATCACCCCACAGCTTCAGGGGAGAGAGTGGTACTGGGCTTCCCTGCCCTTTCATACCATAGTGGCTGCTCCCATTCAGCTTTGTA